TATCGGTTGCTCTAGTTGTCGCTCTTGGAAGTGTTGAGGATCCTGAAATAGAACAGGTTTACTTACAATAAACGTCTAGATGCATTAGAGAAATAATTGAGCAAAAATACTTTTAAATTAATCAGTTCAAGAATTATTAATATTGTTAATTGTAATTGTTGTATTAGTAATTGTTAATTATTGTCATTGATACATATTTATTAAATATTAAAATGCTCATAAAAATTTGAATGTACAATTAATGAAAAATGGGACAAAATGGTAATAAGTAACGTGTAATAAAATAAATTAATGTCAGTTCAGGAATAAACCCACATAAATAGTATGTCCAACTTTGTACTTTTATTGAATTTGTGTTTAAGATATTAAAATAGTTGAAAATTCTTGAAAATTTTGTAGATATTGCCAGATCTATGTTGAAAATAAAATTGGGCCACTATTTTTGGCAGTTTTAGATTAATTTTCGACAAATCTAAAACAAAGTTGATCAAATCATTGTTGTACTAATGGAATACAAGGAAACTAAATGTGGGACTCTAAAATATTAGCTCGCAGAGTAGTTGTTTCATTCATTCGTTATCAATTCTGATACAGTCACTGAACAAAGGTTCCTTATAAAATAGAAATCACCTTTGTAAGTATTCCTACTATTTAATTTACACCAGTGTACTTACTTAAAAGAAAAATAAGAATGATCTATAGTCATGAATCATCAGTAATTAAATGACTATTATAAAAAAATATCGTAATACTGTATAATATTTATATTACACATTATTTATATCTCTTTCTGCAGCTCTATAAAAGGAAAACCAAATAAATTAAAGTTTTTCGTCTTTATAAGAGACTAAATAGAAAAATATTTAAAATCGTCATGAATAGTGGATGTCCCGAAAGTGTAAAAATTTAATTCATTTTTTGCAGTTATATATTAAAAAAATATATGTACCAATAAAATATTCCAATTTTGGTATGCCAAACTTTAAATTCGCGCCATTCAAATAGAACCGACGTTGGTACAAAATGTTTTTTTCTATTTTTGGAAGCACGAAGAAATATCAGTAATTTTTCAAAATATATTTCCTTAATACGTTTTTCTGAAAAATACGCCTATAGAAAGAATCATAGGCTAGGCATTCACAGCAATAGCGAACCAATAATTGCTAAATGGTGACCTTCCACATCAGAAAACAGTCACGCTTGATTCCTCCAGCCTATTTGTATTTAAGGAGGTATTAACATGGAAAATCAGATGCATTATTAGTATGTAACAAAAATACTATCCAAAAACAATAAAATTGCACTGTAAAAAAACTTATTGAGTGAAATGATTGAATACATTTTCACTCAATATTGAGCATTTTGATAATTTTACTCATTTGTAATAATATTTGAACTAAGAGTACTTTCACTAAAATACAGGCACCCGTTAAATAGAAAATCTCCAGATAAACTCGTATTCGGTACACCTGTACCTAAATTGGAGTAAATGTCCTCATTATTGAGTGACCCCACCCCATTCTATGGTTGTCGTTCGTTGTCTTTGTCTATTCTCATCGTCCCCATTAGATCATTTCGTGGCGTGGTGTATAGCGTGTGATGCTAGACAAGTATCCGTATATCTGGTTATTGGTGACAATTGTGTTTAAATGCAGTTGTTTGATTACATTGTTTAAAAACAATAATATATCGAGTCTTAATTAGTATTTGGTTAAATAAATGGATAGTTAGATTATTACCTATACTTACTTACGTATGTGTAACGTACAATATAAGTCATGGCAATCTATTCGTCCGATCAGTTAACTAATTCATTTAATCGAGACCTAAAATATTGTTTCTAAAACAGTTCTGTGTAGAAATCACTGTAGCAACAGTTTATGGCTTTAATACAATGATATTTAAATTAAAATTTATAGAGAATATAAACCAAGTCTGGGTAAAAAATTACTCAATAATAGTTAAATTTAGAAAAATCTCTTCTCTTAATTGGTTTTACATACTGAAAATAGTCAAATGTCATGCTTTATACGCTTTAAATTTAAAATCGCGATTTTTTTTAAATATTGCCTTTTTGCAACACTTTCTAATTTAAGCATAGACATTTCTGTCTTTTAGAACAATCGAGCTTATATAGTGTACAATTTGAGACATACTTTATAACGAAATGAAATTATAAACTACTCTAGTAAAGTGCTTTCCTACAGCAGATTTCCTACGGCTGATTTAGAGGAAGTGAACAGCATCATAAATCAGTCCCAGGAAATCGCGGAAGGTTGCATATAAAGACCAAATGGGCTTTTTACCTCTGTATCTTGGGTCTTGAGCCCTCAGTCTTGCATATTGTTCAGCCGTCATACAAGTGCACTGGGGCTCCCTCGCCCTGCTCGGCGAGGCCGGAGTGCTCAGAGGCTTCCTCTTCGTTTTGAACTTCTGCTTGTTGGGTGGCTCCAACTTGAGCGAGTACGACGACGAAGCCTTCCGGGAGAACTTGAAGGAGGGCGACTGCAACAAATCACACTACGTATAATAAGCATTATTAAACCAGCTACTTGGGATAGGGTGATTATGAAGATGAGTGAGAAACTATGGCTACTACTTGTACTAATAATGGTGATGAATGGAAAGGTGTGGATAAATTTCGTTTTATTAACATTACATTTTACATTGCAGGTAAACTCAAGGTGGGCTAACACAGATATTTTATTTGTATACTACTGGGGTTGTTTAAAAATTAATGTAAGTCACCCTCACGCAAAAAGATCAGTCAAGGGCTTTTTATGACATTTTCTTTGTTAGAAAAAATATGTCAAATGAGCAAAGTAGTACAGAATTTTGTTAAGCATGCACAGAATAATATTACTATAATATGTAATAACAGTGTAGTATTTTCGAATAGTCTCTACTGTGTACTTTTGTTTAAATATGGAGACTTATGCCCCGTGAATTACAGACTCTAAACCTTTAAACACTTTCTGCTTCTTTAGTCTCCTGATTGCTTCATGTCTCTTTTTATTACTCTTTTTTATGGAATGTCCAATTGAGTAGCAATTTTTCATGAACTGGTAGTTGCATCATCTTCTAGTTGACTTAGAATGTTTTCTATTTCTTCTAAACCTTGTCAATAAGCTTATTCAGATGTTATATTAGCTCTGGGAAGCTTTCCGTTTTCGCAGAGTTTGTTGAAAACTCTGATGAATACATTCTCGGACATCTGTGATGTGGAAAGCCTTGACGATATCATCAACAGCAACATTAACATTCCCATTATAAAAATAAATAAAAGAAAGAGAACTTTTAAATACAGAAAAACAAGATTCCAGGGCTACTGAGGAGATAATAGAGAACATTAATGGAGAATATAAAATGCAACTAGAAGAAGTAAGGGAAGCAATCAAGTACTTAAAAAAAGGGAAAACCGCAGGCCACGGTAAGATAACACCTGAAATGTTAAAAGCTCTGGGGAAACAGGGAATCGAAGTGCTAACTTATATTTTAAATAAGGCATAAGACATAGGAGAAACAGATTGGAAAATAGGAATAATTGTACCAATATTCAAAAAGAGTCTGGGAGGATTATAGAGGTCTTACTCTGTTGAGCGTTGTTTCAAAAGTATATGAATTTATTCTAGAGAAAAGATTAGAAAACATTGTAGAAGGACGACTTATAGAATCACACAGAGTGTCTTTAGGAAAGGACGTAGCTCCCAGGATCACATCTTCACCATAAAGCAATTGATAGAGAAAACCAGAACAAAAAACACACAAGTATATTTAGCCTTTGTAGATCTAGAAAAAGCATTTGATAGAGTGTCACAATCAGAAGTGTGGAAAGGACTCAAAAGCAGGAACGTTAACCAAAAACTGGGAAATGGGATAAGGAACCTGCATATATGTTAATAATAAGAGCTATGTAAGAAAGGGCAATATACAATCGAACCAATTTGATGTTAACGATGGACTAAGACAAGGAAGTGTAATGAGTCCAACACTATTCATATTAACTATGGATGATGTTATGAGAACTACAGAGACCAGAATTCGAAAATTACATGTGGGATATAACAAATTACAGCCAGTAGAAATATCAGAATGCGTTTTTACCGATGATCTGACTTCATATGCTTCATATGGGAAAAAGAACTAAAGCAGAAAAAAATGAAAATAAACACCAAGAAGACAAAATTAATGTACATAGGGAAGGAAAATAAATCAGCAAAAAATACAACAAGTGAATACTTTTAAATATCTACGCGTGCAAATAGACAGAGAAGGGAACATGGAAAATTAAGTGGATGAAAGAATTACCAATGCAAGGATGTACCATAGCCATGTACCAGTAAGACGTTTACTGGAAAAAAGGGAAAAAGCTGGAAAACTAATATGACTGTGTATAAAACTATATTTAGACCAATACTAACGTATGGTAGTGAAATATCGAAGAAGAATTAAATGCATCACCAGACGAGACAGGTAGAGAAATGACATAATTAGAGAAGAGTTAGGAGCGGAATCCGAACTTAATGTCATTGAGAGAAATCCACTAAAATGGATTGGTCATCTGAGTAAAATGAATGATAATAGGCAAGTTAGAAGAATTTGGGAACTACGAATACAGTGTTGAGGAAAAAATACTGTTTCTGTACATTGCTCTTTAAAAGTATCTATTTTTGGATGATACAATCAGTAATTTAATGGTCCAAAGGCAATGTTTATCTAGATTAAAATAATTTAAATTATTATTGCAATTGCTATAATTCAAAAATTTGTACAAAAAGACTTTTTTCGATAGATTACTAGAAGTGCATAAGCTTAATTGTAAAAATAAGTATCATTCTATTACACACGTATATCATATTTTTCGTTCGTCTGCTTTTTAGGTTAGGCAAAAATAATTCTACAGAATCATCCCTTGACTGACCTTTTTGGTGCAAGGGCTTGTTTAGTTGGGGTTTTAAATTTTTACAACAACAAACTTCAGGATTTTTTATACTGTTAATCTAAAATCTACTGTAACCAAATTTGATACTTACACAACATTCCCTAAACTGTTTTGCATCTATTGGAGAGGTGAAGTTCAATCCCCATGTGTCATTCGTCATTGGATCTTTCCAATAAACAAAACAGTCCGACGCTTGTCCTATTCTTGTACCTGGAAATAAAGAAATGAAGTGAATGAGCAACAAGCAAATGTACGTTCGAGTTTCTTACTATCCGTAATGTAATAGGGTGTTACGCAAATTTACAGTTACGTTGAAGAGAAAACTACACTTTTTTGTATACACTAATGTCACGATAGTACCAATAATGAATTTATTTATAGCGCTTACACAAAGTTTTCTGCTACGTGCAAGTTGAAATTTAACTTTATCAATAAATATTATCCAGAAATGTCCAAGAAATGCAAGAGATATACATTAGTTTTTTCAGGTTTTAAACTCTATGACATTGCTACTGAAAACAGTAATATTTATCAGTAAAACACTTTGCACTTTCAGTAGTTCCACTACCAATTAACTAATTAACCAAAAACAGAGCTATGACATTGTAAACCCATAGCAAATTCCTCCCAACTGATTATTGAAAACGTTTAAATATAAACATAAAACTAACTGTCTAAAATTTGTAAATAACTAATTTTGAGAAATTTAAGGGAAAAACAAACACTATTAGAAACATGAAATATAATATTTGTTCAATGCAATCCTTTTATTTCTTTCTTTCATACATCGTATTTCAGTCTATCCTTTGATCTTGTGTAGAGGCTTTAGTAGCTTCAGTGGCTATTGTTACCTAATTTCATTGTTGACTGCTATTCAGTTTCAGATCTTCTTCTGAAGAAGAGAGTACTTTCGAAACGTCGTGGGTCTAGACCGATGACGTGGCAACTAATTGGAAATTGTTCGACCACTGTGAAGATACGACTACATTTATTAGAATATAGAATTGAGGACTTTCTAGTGTTCTGTTTTAAACTTTATGTTCAGAATTTTTGTACTAGATGACCTGATGAGCTGAACTAAAAAAAACAGATGGGCGTAGGGAAATAAAAAATTTAAGTAGGTCAATCTGACTTTATAGATTGAAAATACCGAAAGGTCCTTGATAGTTTGATAAACTGATCGAGATAAAGCCCCTAAAATGACCAAATACCGCAATCAATGTTCTTGTTCGTCCCAAAGTGGCGGTTTGATATATGCCAATTTGTACTATTTACATAAAAAAAATTAAAGAATTTAAATTTAAATGTAATTTTGCAGTAATATAGATAGAAATATTATGATATTGTGTAACGAATTGTTCAATACATGTGAAAATTAATTAATTACGTAAAATGTATGGGAAATATATAAATAATAATAATGATACTCGCAACTCAAAGGTTGTGGGTAGATACCTACCAGGCTGGACCAGCCGCACGTCTAATATTTTGTCGACCTGGGAGTTGTAGGCCGTTATGTGGAAAACGCATTCTGGTGAGTCCTGGATGCAGGTGATGTTGACTGGTACAAGATCCTCGCTCACCTGCTGCCATTTTACTGTGCCGGCGCCACTAGCTGATACATGAAAGACCTCCGCCCACAGCCTGAACATAAGAAGCAAATATACATTACATTACTAAGTTTATTCTTGCAAAATTGTATTATTTATACCCGCAATTTTTTTTACTCGGCAGCCAAATAACCGATGTCATTAATATAAAAGTTATTTCTCTTTAACTTTCATTTTTTTTCAAACTCATTTTCTCCCCAAATTACTTTTACTGAACTTTGCTGTTTCTTCAACAGTGAATTTTCACTGGCACATATTTTTCCAAAGGGTGCTACCTGGGTCAAAGAAATATATTGTTTATTTGAACCTACCTACGCTTATGTTAAAATACTATAGGTACTGAAAAGAGGGTATAGAAGAACAGTAAATTTATTTTTTTCTTTAGCTTAATGAAATAATTCGGTATAAAAATTACTAACTTTCAAATTATTTGAAATGTTTACCTTAAATTATTAAAACTAAATAAATCATACAACCCTTGGAGGCTGATACTAAAAGTGATTTATCTACCCCGCAGAATATCTTACATTTTCTAAAGAACATATCCTCTACAGTTAAATCAAAATATTCTTGAAAACAATGATTATTGTTAAATTGTATAAAACAACTATTCTGCGACTAATATCTTAACCATAATTGAATTACCCCCATAATATATAGTCCTATAACTAATAGTTAATAATAAAATTCCAAGTTATTAATAAAAACTACAAATTCTCACAAGACTGATATTTTCTTTTATTCTTTCTTGCATGTAAATCTGAATACGAGCATATAGTGTGTTTTCTAGTGGGAGACTTAGTTTTGTGGATATTTTTTCCAATATTTAATATGATTTTCCGTTTTTCATATTTAAAACTTCTGTTATTCATATTTAACCAGAATTCAATAAAAGTAGAAAAACTGTTTGTACACGTAAACTGTTTTCGATCTCTTAGAACAGATGAATACTTTCTTCTCTCTTTTTTAATGATTTAGTGACTTTTTAGTAAAACAACATTCACCCCTTTCCATTAAATATTGTTAAGTAAAATATGCAAAATAAAAGATAATGGAAGAAAGTGGAAAGAAGAAAGTCAGAAAAAGTTAAATGAAAACTTTTTGGTTTCTGAGTTACATGCCTTCAAAGTATAAAATAAATTTAATTAATCTTCATAACCCTTTTACCGATCGCGTTAAAATTTGGCACATTTATTTGGACTATTATACCGTATTATTTCATAAAACTAGTCAAATGGATATACTGGGTGACAGTTTTCTCCGGTTACCTCTCCCTTTTAGCGGTCAAACCTTTTACAGTGATCGTATTTTTTTAAACGGGCAGCAACATTGAAAAGTCGTTTTATTTAAAAATAATTTTTCCCTTGAGAAAATCGCCTATAGAAAGCTATTTTTGAGAAAAATGGCATTATTTGCAGATCTGTATGTTTCGATTTGCGTAGCAATGTCACGAATTTAAAACTTTGAGTTCAGTAGGCGATGAATACAAGATGATTGCTGTGGCTATCAGGTAATGTCATTATGGCAGTGGCGGCTCGTCAGGTGACGCAAGTGACGCACCGCTTCACCCAAAATTTCCGTTTCGTTGTGCAATTTGAAATTATTTTTAATTTTTTAGTTTTACATACTTTTAATTGTCTGATACACTGCGGACACTTCATAATTTGCGTGTGTTGAGTGATGAGGATCCTAAAAACACACGACATTAATGACATTACATGATAGCAACAGCAATAAACATCTTGTTTTCAGCGCCTACTGAACTCAAAGTTTTAAATCCGTGACATTGCTACGCAAACCGAAACATATAGACCTGCAAATAATGCCATTTTTCTCAAGAATGGCTTTCTCTAGGCGATTTTCTCAAGAGATAATTATTTTTAAATAAAACGACCTTTTCAATGTTGCTGCCCATTTTAAATAAATACGACCACTGTAAAAGTTTTGACCTCTAAAAGGGAGAGGTAACCGGAGAAAACTATTACCTAGTATAACGATTTGACTAAACCTTTAAGAAATAGTCCAAATTGTCCATAATAGTCCAAATACATGTGCCAAATTTTAACACGATGGGCAAAAGGATTATGAAGTTATTAATTAAATTAGTTTTATTTTTGACAATTTTGAAAGCTTGTAACTCAAAAACCAAAAATTTTTTACTTAACTTTTTTCAAGTCAAACGTTGTCGGTGAAATTTGTAGACACCCTGTATATTTAATAAGTAGTATTTCTTATTGTAGATTTCTTTTATATAATTTGTACTATATTTTCAATACATATTGCAGCCAAACAAGTAAAACTTTGATTATAAAGATGGTGTTGATTTTTCATTTTATTTTATTGATGGGGATAACAGTTAAGAGTCCCAGTTGGCCATGGAAGGAGATCAACAATTACCACACATTGACCAAGACGTGACAATACTGATATATCAGAGCTTTCATAAATGTTTACAAGCCAATATTAATGACTCATTTACAATGACCAATGGTAAATCGTTGCGTCTACGCTCGAAATGATGCGATCGCTGATTGGTTGAATAGTATCTCGTCAAAAATTACACTAATCACAATCAGTGAAACAGAACGTTGTGTTTGTAACAAAATAACAATAGACCAGTAAAGCGATCTTTATTGAATTACACGAATCAATGTCAGATGGCTGTAGCACTCTGTTCGGTTATCAACACTTTTTGTATACATACGTTTTTTTAAATTTACTGCTAAATAGGAAGTCTGAATCAAAGTTTATGTGATGTGCCTAAAAGCCACATGGTAATACGGCAGATTTTGCTTGCCAAAGTACGACCTCCAAACCTGGTTTTAGGTAAGAAATAATACTTTATATTGCAGTTAAATCAACTAGTTAAGCTGTGTATTGTAATCACTGCCGGTAGTTTGTTTTTTCATTGTGATTGTATATTTTAATTGATTAATGTTTTTAAATTATTATTTTAGTATTGTTACTTATGCCTCACTGTGATCGAACAACTATTTTAGGTGTGGTACTTCTAAATCTAATAAAAACCATTTTTCACTATTGAAGATTTCCATAAACTCTTACATGTTTTAACCTTGATCTTACCATTTTAATAATTTTTAATTTTCCCGAAATCTTATGGCCAACATGAAGGAAATAAAATTACTGTCCCAAAGAAAATTACTGGTCATGTGCATCATTAATTTATACTTATGTCTTTGTGTCCTTAGTTAAACAAACAAGTATATTTTAGATATAGCTAGAGAAATGGAACAAACATGTCTGTCCATTTTAGAGGCACTGAAAATTCAAAATGAATAAGTGACAAACCAAAAATACTGCGATATGTATATCTCTCTTAACAAGACTCGTTATTTGTTATAGTAATAGATTTAGATATGAGCATTTTCCATTAAAATAAATGATGTGGAATATTAATACATTTGTCCAGTGACTGATTTAATATTGTAATTATCCCAGTTTGACGAATTGTAAATCCAAAAAATTATTTTATTCTAGAAGTTATAGTTTCATTTAACTCGCAACAGTTAGGAAAATTTTGAACATAATGGCTCGAAATCCAATTTGGTCTAAGGCTTTATAATCTGCGTTAAATTCTCCTTTGGTGTGTTGGTTAATTAACCTTATAAGGCGAAGAAAGTTTTAATTATTTATATTCCAATTTGCAAACTTTGATACTGTCACATATTGATTAGCTTTTGACCTTATCCGTGTTCAAAGTTTTGCAATTTTAGTTAAATAACTTTGCTTTGAGGTGCTGACACGTACCTTATCCGAGAGTTTAATTAATTAATTAATATACATTAGAAGTGTGGGATGAATTATATGAATATTTAGAAGGCCTTTGTATAACTGGATAGGGTAGTACAAGTGTTTGACAACAAAGGCCGTTTGAAGAAGGACTAGTAAAATTTTCGTTTTTGTTTGTTGAACATAAATAATTAAAATTCTCAACGCCTTATGTAGATTAATTAAGTAACACAGCAAAGGAATGTTTAACGGAGATTATAGGACTTGAGGCTAAATTTGATGTGAAACTGAGACTTATTAAATACATGAAATTTCTGTTAAATGAAACTATGAGCAGTGCGTATAATTATTATATATGCCTTTTGTACAGGTTTAAAATCCAACAACTTTCACAGAGATATAAAAATATTCTTGAAGTTAAATTAGATGTTAAACTAGATTTACTTAGGTATTAAATGCATAGAAATTTCAATTACGTAAATGAAACTATTCGGTTCATATTAGTCTTATAGATCGAAGATTCGATAGCATTTTCAAATTTTCTGTCTAATTGATTAATTTATTTTTGCCTCTCTTTAAACTAAACAATTTGAAACCTTCACTATGACTATAAAACTATGACGTTTAATATCAAAGAAATCAAAAAGTAATTGTATTTTTGTGGAACTGTTATAAAATATTAATTTCGTAATAAGGGCTGCAATATTAACTTTCTGTTATTAAACCTGATTTCAGAATTATTAAATTCGGCAGTGGTTGTGCTGAAAAATTATTTTGCATTATATACTGATGATATTTGAATTACACCAGCTGTAAATGATACTAATTAATTCTACGGAAACAGATTTTTAATTAATAATTTTTGTGATATGTACATGTAAGATGTAAAATCTTGAGATAAAAAATTTCTTTGAACGTCACTGTCGGCGCAATAAAAAAAATAATGCAAGGAAAAATGTAAAAAAAAATTTTTTCATAACTGCACATAGGCTCAGAAAATTTTTCCGGGCTTAATCAATGCCGGGGTCATTTAGCCTGATTCATCAGCTTCAATTTGTTTTTTTTTTATTTTCTGTACTTACGACTATTTCTCATTGAGATATCGGTTACTGAGTGAAAAGTCATCTCTTTTTTATCATCGATCTCATGAACGAACAACGAACGGAAAGTGGTTTTTAGAAACTTGAATTAATCCTCTTCAAGGGCCTTTTGCTATATTTGTAATTTTTCTTTATACTCAGCATTAATTTGAAAAAGTGCAAAAAATTACTTTTTCTGCTGTTTTGGAAAGTCAGCGACTATTTTGCAAATATTGCGAAAAGTACCAACGTTTGTAGGTTTTCTTTGAGCTTTATACATGTCCATGAGGCCTATAAATTTTGAAATCGATCGGTCAAACCGTTTTCCTTTCCTGAATCGTCAAAGCATTATAAAAAATTAAAGGAGCAGGTTTATTGCTTCTTAAACATCAATTAATGATTATAATACATTTTTTTTGCTTTATTTTTCTTACAATTTCGTGTTAAATACTCATCAAATATCGAAAAAAAAAAAATTGAAATTATAAAAAAAATCAATTTTGAAAAAAAATCTAATTTAAAAAAAATATAATTTTTTGGCGTTCTTTTTTTACTATTTTTCATTGAATACTTAAAATATCCAAAAAAAGCAAAATTTGGAAATAATTTTTTAATATCAAACAATTTTTTTTCTCTGAGTATAATTTTTTTTTCTCAAACAAGTTACAGCGTTTCAAAAATCACTAAAAAAATTTGAAAATTTTTCTGATGCTTAATTGTTTTGCCAAATGTATAAAAATATTAAAGAAGATATGTGAATGCGATTGTTTAAAAATTGATGTTTCTTTGACATGAAATTTTCAATTCTTAGGATGTGATTCAATAATCTAATCCTAAACTAATCAATTAAGGAAAAATATGCGACGATTATTGTTGTAATGATAAATTTTGCATAATAATCAGTTTCACTCGTATTAAGTAATTATATTTATATATGTATATCAGTATTCTAAGAAGTCATTTTAATTAAAAGATATAGAATATATTGACCACGGATATTGACTAATAACGTATATAAACTATTACAGGAGTTAATTTTAATAATACCTAATAGATATAAAGGAGGCAGGGACAATATACCAACATGTTATTGATATTATTTTGGTGTTTCTATTAATATCTGTGGATATCTGTGATACGGAAAATTTTATTACACCTATAGATGTAAACATTAATAAGGAAGTATCATAGAATATAAATTGGCTCTTGTCAGACTTTTGATATCCGACTGTCTCTCACGACAATTTTTGTTGTCAGTACAGTGTTAAAGTTTTATTAGAGTAGTGTGACCAAAACGAGTTTATTTTATATAGAATTCTTTAAATTAATTTGTCAGCAGTTGGAAATTTCAAGGAAAAAGAGTTCTTCAAATAGATAATAAAAATATTGGGAAGTTCATAAGTTTTAATAATATCTCCTTATATGCTCCATCAGTGTACTTACAACATGACCTTTTTTCAAAGCATTCTGCAAAATCGCGATCTCTTTAAACATATAATTTTCACATATAAACTAAACAAAAAGGTTTTGTAACTACTAGAAGAACGAGTATTTTATGTTTTTTTTTTGTTCTTAACCTCTCACAATGGATTATTAAAAAATGTTTATATTCATATGTTCTAGAATTATTAGTTTTTAAAATGTAGTGTACATTTTTGGCTGCAGTATTAATTAGATTTTTCGTTTTACTTGAAAACAAGAAACTTTAAGACAAATTGACAAGGTGATTCATTGTATACCTTTAAATATATTAATCAAGTTTCTCGGCAAATATACAGGATATTTACAATCGCTGAGAATTTTGTAATGGTAAGTAGAATGTATTAACAATAAGTATTTTCAATAATCAAAATCGTTAAAGCTGCAAATTAGTGTTTACAATTGACAAAATTTTGTATTGTTTAACTTAATTAGTTAAAGTTTAACTTATTTAGAACCTTTGCAGAATGCAGTATGTTGAATTTACATACTGCATAAAAAGAGATGAATAATTAAGGTCTTAAATGATAAAAGAAATTGTTAGTTCAATTCTAGGTAATCATCAGATCTACTTTAATTTTCATTACGAAAACTTATGTGTTTTGTTACGAAAACTTAGTTGAGTCATTTATTTTTCTATATTCTTACTTTTAGCTGTGTTCTCTTTTTGTAAAAAGACAATGTGTTTGTGGTGTGGGTGTATTAATTAATAATAAGTACGAACAAAAGTGCTAACTGGACCACCAATACAGTAACTATAAATTAACGGATATGGTGGTAACGTATAGAATCGCTGATTTATTCTTATATCCAACGTTTCCCAAATTGACGTGCACCAACATTTGTAAACAGAGACAGAGTTATCGCTGACGTCAGCGGTACCAAAAAGTTTTCGTCATATCAATGTGGTAGGTATATGTCAGTAGCTATTAAAATAAATCATACAGCCATTTAGTTATTTAAAATTCTCTCTAAATTTGTAGCCATCCTGTATAACACTAGTTTTATATTGCAGCATGAAATAATTAATATTTCTGGTTTATCATTTCATTATACAATGACAATCTATTATTCATAAAAGGATAAATATAATTAAAAGAAAACGTAAATACATATGCGTAATAAACGCTGAGCAATCCAAACACAATCAAATACAGATGAGATCAAATGTGTTTAGATATTATATTAATCACTTTGATCTTGTAGAACTTATATTTTGAAAACTTGAAAGGTGTTTACTTTCTAGTACATTTCCAAGCAAATATTTAATCTTGCTTTTAAATTTCGTCATGCAAATTTTATTTATACAGGGTGTCCGGTAAGTACCTCCTAATCTCTCGGGAGTGTATAGGGGAGGTCAAAATAAAACTAGTCCTTCCTATAATTTTTTTCCTAATGTGCCCCCTAACGGAGTTATGGGGGGTCAAAGGGGTACCTAGAAATTAACGTTTAGGGTTATAACTTTGAAACTATCCTGTATATTTTAATAAAATTTTCGTACGTTGTAGGAGCTCTACGATTTGATGCTAAAATCAACTTTTTGCTATTATCAGGTGTCCAGAAACTGACTGGCCCTATCACAATTTTTCTCAAAATTTTGACAGAAGTAATTTTATCAAACTGAAAATATTATTATTAGATACTCTGATGGTTTTTCTTTAAAAATGGTACTCTTTATTTATTTCGAAAAAATGAACGGTTTGCGAGATAAATCGGTTTTGAAAAAAATTGGTAACAAATACAACAATTAAAATTTATTTTTTTACAATAAAATCATTCAAACTCGCTACCAACCAAGGTTTATGGTGAATGTGTGGGCTGGCATTATCGGGAATCATTTGATTGGTCCATTTATTCTGGAGCAAAGACTTAATGGTGCTCCTTATTTGCAATTTTTAGAGGAAAATCTAAATATTTTGTTAGAAGAAGTGCCCCTTCAAATAAGAACTGAAATGTGGTACATGCATGACGGTGCACCACCCCACTTTGATCGTTTAGTACGTCAACATCTGACGAATGTTTTTGGTGATCGATGGATAGGTCGAGGCGGACCTATATTATGGCCACCTAGGTCGCCCGACCTAAACCCATTAGACTTTTTTCTATGGGGTCATTTAAAAAATAACGTTTATTCAACAGCCGTAAATAGTAGAGAGGAACTTCTGCTGAGGCTAACACAGAACTGTGACCATCTCCGCAATAATCACGGAATATTATTTCAAGTGCACCGGGAAAACATTCGTAGGATTAGAAAGTGCATTGAAGTACGGGGTGCTCATTTTGAACATCTACCAAAGTAACATTTAGGTACCTTCGTTCATTGTTGAATGTTCTTTGTTGCATGTCTTGCAAGTAAGTTATTTTTCAAATGTTATTTTTAATTGGTCACTACTTGCTCATAAAGTATAGCCAACCCGTTCAAAGATTTCTGGACTTGATAAAGTTAAAGAAATTAAATGCATGAAATAATATGTAAAAAAAATTAATTTTAATTGTATTTGTTACCAATTTTTTTCAAAACCGATTTATCTCGCAAACCGTTCATTTTTTCGAAATAAATAAAGAGTACCATTTTTAAAGAAAAACCTTCAGAGTATTTAATAATAATATTTTCAGTTTGATAAAATTACTTCTGTAAAAATTTTGAGAAAAATTGTGATAGGGCCAGTCCGGTTCTGGACACCTGATAATAGCAAAAAGTTGATTTTAGCATCAAATCGTAGAGCTCCATGTGTAATACAACGTACGAAAATTTTATTAAAATATACAGGGTGGTTTCAAAGTTATAACCCTAAACGTTAATTTCTAGGTACCCCTTTGACCCCCCATAACTCCGTTAGGGGGCACATTAGGAAAAAAAATTATAGGAAGGACTAGTTTTATTTTGACCTCCCCTATACACTCCCGAGAGATTAGGAGGTACTTACCGGACACCCTGTATAAGCAACTCTCTTCTTTTTTCGTAGTATCGATAACTTTACTGCGGTAAGAATTATTTTCCGATTTTAATTTTCTAGTATATACTTCTCTATTTAACTTTTTGTATTTTAAACAGTCATTCCGTCGCGAATATGACGGCACACCTTGTTGGATGTGTGTAGTTAGTAGGACTCAGAAACTTTAATTTAGTTTAATAATAAATTTTTTATGTTAGATAAGTGTATTTTCTCTACAATTTTTATTTACTTCTCGTGCTCTAGTTTCTCTTTGTTATTTGTTAAGAAATACCAACCCTTGTGAAACGCTTATGGATACTGATGCGGACGCCGCTGTACATCAGCGGAGAACTTACCGCAGTAGATGCCCATCTCGTCTCCTGGACGTCTGCCACGGCGAGTCCTCGTATCGATACGCTTTCCTGAGGATCGGAGCACACGAGCAACTCAGCTTATTGCCCATGGATGCTGGGCACTGGCACTGCCCCCTTTGTCACCACATGTCCGTGCCAAACTCGGGACCCCTGGAGCCCCACTGACCTCGCACGCCGCGGTTCAAGGACTGAGACCGCTGGTGGTGTGTCGGTTTGCCGTGTTTGTGCTGGAACAAGAGTAAGGAGGAGTTAGATGCTGAAAATTATCATGAAGTTTATAAAAGCTGTTTTGAAAACATATTTGATAACAATTTCTGGAGCAGAGACAACATTCATGGGTCTATTCTTTCTTATTCTCGATTGCGGAGTAGTTGTTTCTACAATATCATTAGTTAAAAAGTGTATGATGATTTATTTAATAGTAATAACACACAAGAAACTGCTTCTGTGAAATTGCGAATTTTCTGAGAAATCGTCACAACAGCAAGGTTAGGTTTTCCACTGCTTGAAAATAATGCTGATGTTGATTAAAAAACAATATTTAAGGATATAAGGTATCTGACTTCCGTACAGTCAATTTTATTTTACTCAGAACCGGTGTAGCTTTAGATTATAGTAACAGAAAATATAGTAAACGGAGCTAGGATGACTCGTTGGCAAGACTCATCAGATATAGACTTGTTTTTGGAGTAGTAATACCTATTAAACAGTTGAGAACGTTACTCATTGGTGGGATCACATCAGGCATAGACCGGATTCGGAGTCATTTGTCCTCATCAGTATGCCATAGGTCTGACAACTGATGAATGATTCAGCTATTTTAGAGCCTCATATTCGGACAGGGAGTAAGTAAATGTGAAATAAATACATATACTGGTAACAGCTACTTAATGTCTTTGTAACAGTCAAAAATTCATTTGCAACTGTGGAAAACTTAGAGCATGTACTACATGGAGCACCGCGTGTTAAAAAGTGTAGACGTTGTAGGGAGAATAGGCGATAATTTGGGTACTCTCTCTCTCTCTCCCTATTTTATTTGAATTTCACGAGGGAGTTAGCCAATCATGCACCTGCGCAAGAGAGAAAGATAGTACCCAATCTATCTCTTTCTCTTTCTGTCACTCGTCTACACTGTCACCGTAAGCGAGCTTCATCCATGTAGTATATACTCTAAGGTGGAAAATGTTCATCTAATTGTTATATTCGATTAAAGTATTCTGGTACATTAACAATTTAACTGATCGAACAATTCCTGATAATTTGAAGCTGGCCACTGGCTCTCGTTGGAGCAGTCCTTATGAGACTTTTCTGTTGCAATCCAATTACTGCAGAAAAATTTGATGTATAATCCAATGTCTAATCAACTCGTATGATTACTTCTCAATTCTTCATTGTGTCATCTCGGAATATCACAAAAATGAAATTAGTTAGACTACCAAATCCAGTTCTCGGATTGATTCAGTCATCGAGAAATTGTTCACTCGTTACAATGAAAGCAAAACACTTATTTAATTTTAAAATGGTGTCATTTAAAATCTCAACTTCATATTCAACAACACTACAGCCCGTGAGAGTTTGTATATTAACATATTATTTTTATAACATTATTTGGTTCTCTTTGACGCAATGTTAAATTGTTGACTTAAGTATAATCATTCCATTTAAAAACCGTTATTACTTTCAATAGCGATTCGTTAAAAAAATGGAACTGTTGTAATGAAATGGAAATTTTAATTACAGTAACTACAAAACACATGTTGCATTTACTACAATCATAGAATCGCTACAAAGAATGCGATATTTCATGGAATAGGTCCTATTCATTCATCGTCAATCCTAGCTGATCACTTCCAATTATTTACTATTTATTTATATGTTAAGTTTTTATTCACATCGTATGATTTTTCCATACAAAACACGTCTTCAGTTTTACAAACACCATTCCATTCATATTTCTTTTACGACAGTATAGTTTTTTCAAGCTCACATTTTGAGACATATATCATCAGATTTAAGTAATTCAAAAATGTGTATTTTACTATAAATAACACATCCACACAAAAAATCGACTTTCGGGTCCAGACATGTTTATTATACGTTTTTTGGGTCGCTGGATATGAAAAACACTCGTCTACATCACAGTGCTACTCTCTTTATGACTATCATTTTAAATAAATCCCCCCAATATTTGTACAATAAAATCAGATTTCGAACTGACGTTCATAATTTAAACACCAGATTTAAAGGTAATTTAACCCCTCCTTTACATAAAACTGCAACATTTGAAAGATCGTTTAGTTACAATATGCCAAAAATTTACAACGCCCTACCGTTGCCTCTCAAATCGCTGTCTGTCAGTTGTTTCAAAAAAAAATATAAAGCCTTTCTTTTTAATTCCCAATAACTAGTACCTAATTACAATCATATAATTGTTTCGCTTGCATATCTCTTCTGTGTGATATCGTATTACTTTTCTTTTTACTATATATGTGTATGTATGTATTTAATATTTTAAGTGTTTAAAGTGCGACTTAAATGCCGTGGCGCATCTAGCATGGGTTAAGTGGAAGAACAGTGTGTTGTCCACTGGACGACACAGCTGAACTTCGCCCTTTCATATATTTGTATTTTAGTACATGTGTCTGTTTTTTATGCTATATATGAATAAAGAATATTATTATTATTATTATTATTATTATTATTATTATTATTATTATTATTAT